TACCAAAACTTTGACACTATTTAATGAACATCTGTTACTCTTTTTCCGCTTGAATAAAAGATGTAAAAAGCTTTTAAACTTTTTTTTTTGTATTGACAGATACTAGCAAATATTAAGTTTTTTAAATAAATAGCGTTGACTGCAAAAAATATGTGATGCAGCTTTGGTCAAATTTGTTAAAGTTGGTTTATTTGGCTGCCAAATGAATCAAATAAAATTGGCAGTAACCTTATCGCCTGAATTTTAAATGTATCCAAATTTTTCAAGTTTATTTTCAGAAAAAATGTTAAGCATGATTACTATTTTATAACACATTTACAGAAAATATTTGTTCGCGGTTTCTAAGAATCTGTTATGTGGACAAAGTTCTAGAAAGTTGAGTGAATGAGATTGGATAAGGCAAGAGAATTAAGGTTGATGAGACTAATGCTAAATTTGATTTTGCTGTGAAATTTTAGCTATACCTTCTCTCTAAATTAGCTAAGATCTAAAAATAGTTTTTAGCGAATAATTCTACTCGAACAACAGTCATTGGTTCTGTTTGGTAGATAAAACTAAATGCAGGAAAAAAAAAGCTCAATCGTTTTTCGTCTGTACGTTTACCAAAAAAGTTTAATTTTTGCTTTTTCAAAGATTGGTTTTTTGTATACGTTCTTTTTCGAAAGTGTGCAATAAGCTGCAGTAAGGTAAAGAAAAGTTTTAATGCCTGTTTTCTGCTAAATTTGTGGGGAATTTATCCACTTGGTCAATTTCATTTTCTTCAAATGCTTTTCTGCTGCATTAAGTAAAATCCTCAAATTTTGGTCTATTTCACAGATTACAATTTCGACTTTTATCACTTGCATAAACTCTTTTTCGTCACTTTCTATTTTTCAAATTCTGTTAAATTATTCTTTTGAAGGATCATTTTTACTTTACTTTTGACTTTTTGATACTACTGACTAAACGCAGATCGTTAAACAAACTGTTGGCAGAAGTGCTTTTTATTTTTTTTAGGCTTTTTTCAGTTCTTTTCAGCTGTGTAAATAAACACAGGGAAATAGTGTTTTAGCATTTTGCTGTATTTTACTAAAAACTTTAAAGAAGAACAGTGGAACATTAATCTGTTGTTGACTGTGATGCTGAGGATTTGTAGTTGACCGAATGATGAATAATTTATAATAAATGCTCTACATAAACATCTATAAAGCTAACCTTAAAATTGATTAGGTGATGAGAATTGTGAATTTTTTTTAGGCAACCTAACAACAAACTTTTGATGAAAGCGAAAAACTATCTTTTTTTTGAATAGGCAGCAAATTTATGGTTCACCAGTATCGGTATCCAAAAGCCAGTCACAGAAATCTTGTAGGCAAAAAACCTAATACTTGATTCTTAGTATTTAGACCATTTAACAATCAAACTTTGTAATTTTTACTGTTGTTTAGCAAAGTGACGACAACCACTGAAATTCCACGACTGCCTTTGTTGACGCCCAGCAATAACATTACAGCATCAATTATTCAACCTGGATCAGCGGTCAGAAAAACGTCATCAAATGATGTGAGTTTTTGAATTCAGCAGTTATTGCCAAAAAAAAAAGTGAAAATCTATTTCTATATTTTATAAATTTGCAAAAACTCTTGTGAAATAGCAAAATTTCGTATTTTATTTGCTACTATTCTAAGATTACTTACCACTAAAAGTCTATTTGGTTGAAAATGATTTTGATAGCGATATTCAAGAGAAGAATTACTGGACAACTTTTTTTTTTGCATTAAGAGGACATTTGTTGAACACATTTCTTCTGCTGCTATCAAACAAATACTGTCAAAAATTTGGTTGACTGTAAACACGAAAAGAAAAGTTAAAAATATAGTGTAGTTAAATCTTTGCAACGTCAACTAAATTTAGGGCTTAATTCTTTGCCATCTAAATCAATGTAGAATTTTTGCAAACTTTTTTAATACAGTTGTTTATTTTATACTTAATGCTACCAATGCAAAACTTGTATTTTGTTCACACATAATGAAACACTTTAGCGTTAACCATACTGTAAAGATACTCAAATAAAATGTGGAAAGCTTTAAGTCGTTGAATGATTAATGCTTCTGTAATATAAAAAAAATTTATTAGCGTAACAGTTAACGATGTCTGTTAGCAGTTGACTTAAAACTATTAAAACATATTTAGACGGTTTTTAGATGTCACTACGTAAAGGCAAAAAAGCTTTTGTCTATTACATATTCTGTCTACCAACTGACGAGCAGTTGTCTAATAAAAATTCAAAAAAAAAATTGCTTTTTTTGTCGTTAATTGGTCTTTGATAGAACAAATTAAATTATCACTGTAGAATACCCATCTCTAATAGCAGTTTTTTAAATGCTTTATAAAAAGTATGTTTTTAAACCGGTTTTAAAGCCAATTGTTATTCAATATTTATATTTGTTACCTTCTCTGTACTGTTCAAACAACATTTGTCTGCTTGTTTAATGGATGTTTGCAAAAGCGTAGTCAGCTTTGTTGACAGTTATGTCAGAGCGCAAAAAATAAACTTGAATAACACCAAAATTAGAAAAAATTTGAAAAGAATTAATTTACTCATTTTTTTTCTTTATATTTTTCTTTTTCTTTTCAATAAAACAATAAGTTTTCAGAGACAACTGCATCAGTATTCGTCGCACTCACTGTTCCAAGAATCTGAACAACAAATGAAGACAACAACTGTTGGTCCATATCACACTTCTCTTCAAGAGTAGGCTGTCAACTTGTTGTCTGCCGTTTTATTTATAATATTATTGTAAATAGCAAAATTTTATTTTGTTTTTTTTTTAATTTTTGTCAATTATTTATAGCATAAAAAAAATTAAAAGTGAATTATTTTTTTGCGGTTTTATAGAAATTAATTCTTCAGATTAGATACCGGTAGTGAGCGTTATAGAGACTATAAGCTAACAGATAAACTTACTGTCAACATAGCTGTATATTTTATTTATTTATGTTTTTTTTCTAAAACTAACTTGACAAATTTTTAGTTGCTTTTTTACTGATATAGCTTGGTATTGCAGACTATTGCTAACTTAGGTATCATCATTGTAACCAGTCAAATATATACCTAACCAGTTCCAAACTTGCAGTTATTTTTTTTTTCAGTAAACTTTAGTGGATTTTTCTTAAGAAATACTAAATTTGATTTTCATCATTTTTTTTTTGTTGCTTTTTTTTTTAGCAAACTTCAAGAGTCACTTCTTGACGAAAGAAGAAATCGATGGAAAGACGATAGAGATGACGGTAAGCATTCAAATAATAGAGATCCAGCCAACTCTCCTGCAGCAGCAGCAGCAGCAGCAGCAACGGCAGCACCAGTAACAACAAAGGCGACAGCTTCGTCATCCACACTATCGCTTGTTCTTTGGACAACAATGTCTATGCTATTCCATTATTCCTTGAGATCCATCAACTTGTTGTCTTCTTCCTAAAACTAGCAATAATTTATTTCTTAATATATTTCTATCTGTAGACAGTGAGAAAAGAAAAAACCTGAGAAGCCATAAATTTTGTTAAAAAGACAAGAATCTGCTAGTTCCGGATTCAGCTGCTTGATTTCAGTTGGTAATACTGTACGGTGATAGAGTTTTACTTAACGCGTACGTCTTATTTTTTTTGGCTTAGGTTTCATCTGTTGAAACTTGTCGACAAACAACAATTTTTTTAAACCATTTAAACAATAGGCTTTAAAAATGCAGACAAAAAAATAAAACAAAAAAAAACAAAAATTTGAAAAATTGAAAGAGATATGCAAAACAACTTTTTGCTACCGGTTTTTCTTTTTTTTGATTTCTTTTACCATAATAATTTTAGACGAAAAAAAGGTTAGAAAAAAAAATTACAGAGCATTAGTGGTGCAAAATGTTTTTGTTTACTGTAACACTTTTTGGCATAAAAATATTAGCAGCAAAAA